CAACCAAGACATTTAGATAAGCAAGGTACAGATAATTGATCTTCTGCTCTAATTGCCCATCAGTTTAGGTTAGTGTCAGAGCAGTAAGAAATAAGTGCATGAGCATGCAGAAGCATTTTCATTAAGGCAGGCACCACAAAGTAGTGGATGGTCAGTATGATAAAAACTGGTATCCCGAAAACTGAATTGATAATTGGAAAGAAAAACTGAGACTGAGACTGTAACTCTATTCTGAGTGCTTTTTAATCTGCCTTCTCCTCATGGGCTTGTGTTTTCTTTCTGGACCAAAGTGTAGATTGAATTTAAGAGAAAGAGTAACTGAATAGACACTATTGGGCAGTGGAAGCAGAATCTCTCCAAGGGACTCTTAACCTTTAAGTGTGTAAACAGAAATGAATACACATGCACAGGCATATGCCTTCAAATTTCACCCATCGTGTAATATACCTTTGGTGGTGAGCTGCTCTTGGAGGGCACATTACAAGACAATGGGGACATCTAGTGGAATGCTGTAAAGCTGCATTTGAACATGACCCAAGGAAACATGGCCAGCAGTCAGCGCACACAAGGGAATGAGGTTTCCTTCTTAATTTTACTAAATGTGAAGTGAAACATCCGGTGGCTACAGCCAGATATGATATGATATGTTCCACTTTCTGAATTGATTACAGATAGAGTGATTGCTGGTCTGAGGCTAAAATGGGGTTGTTGCTACTGCTGTTGACATGGTGATTAGATGGTTGTTGTTGTTTTTTAAAAAAGCCAAAGCTAATTTTGTTATTGATCAAATTGTTTAGATTAGTAAGGAGTTTGGAAGGGAGCATTATGCTATAGTCATTTCCATAGTCATTTGTGAGACTTCAATAACTATTCCTTTCAGCTCAGTGGGTTTCTATGAGAGGAAACCTCATTAAATAAAATAGGATTTTCTTTGCCTGTTATTCAAAAATATCAGCTGAAATTGTGAACCTCTGCCCATTTCAAAGGTTTAGATTTCATGATTTCAGTATAAAGCTCTTCAACACTTACTGAATTGAGCTATCCATCTTAGATTGTTCAGATTATTATAGGACGTGTTGTGCCAGCCTATAGTTCCTGTCCAATTTTACAAAAGATAAGGAAGTTGCATTAGGAATGAAGGTAGTTGCATTAGGAATAAAGATAAAGTCTGCAAAGTAGACCTTGTGTTTATTCCTAATGCAACCACCTTGTCTTTAATACAATTGGGGAAGAAACTATGCACTGGCACATCATGTCCTGTAAAAGACTGATGAATAGCCAGTCAATTTAATCCTGGCAACTACAGGGATGCATCAGTGTGCTTTTCTTATCAGTGGTTTGCCTCTGTCATTTTCTGGGATGTTTTTTTCAAATTTCCAATCTAGCCGATAGCTCTTCCAATGGCTTTCCTTCCAAGCACTATCTAAGCCTGTCTTTGACTGTAAATAAAATCCATAAGTTGCTGCCATTAGAAAAGATGGGATGGTTATATAGAATGCTCCTATACAATTGATTCAACATTATGTTCTGCAAGGTACTTACAGGATTCGTCCTCATGATTGTGGCAACGTGCTTTCCTCATATCCCTGAGGCAGAAAGGATGGAGGCGGTTTTAGAAAGATCTTGCCCTGCAGCTTAGCTTTGCCACACCCCAGGAACTGAGCCAATCAATGTTGCTACTCACTTACAGTTCAGTTCAAGGTATTCTAAGGCCCATTGATTGGTACATCCCCTGTTCTTTTCTCTCCTACCCAGCATTGCCTTGAATATGTGGTAGGGTGAGGTTTGGATGTTTAGCTGAAATGTTGTTTCAATCAGGCCTAACTTCTCACCAATGCCATATTCTTAAGTTATTCCTATGCACATCTGCTTTTGGAATTGCTTCTGCATAAATATGAGACTTGCTTCTGCATAAATACAGGTAGTCCTCAACTTACAACAGTTTGTTTAGTGACAGATCAAAGTCACAACGGCACTGAAAAAGTGACTTATGACTGTTTTTCACACTTACAACTGTTGCAGCATCCCCATGGCCATGTGATCAAAATTTAGACATTTGGCAACTGTCTCATATTTATGACGATTGCAGTGTCCTGGGATCATGTGATCCCCTTTTGCAACCTTCTGACAAGCAAAGTCAATGGGGAAGCTGGATTCACTTAACAACCATGTTACTAGATAAGATAAGATAAGATAAGATAAGATAAGATAAGATAAGATAAGATAAGATAAGATAAGATAAGATAAGATAAGATAAGATAACCTTTATTGTCATTTTTATACTGTGGGCACAATGGCACACATCAAAAATGAAATTTAGTTGCCCCTCTCAAAGTAAAACACATACATGACACACACCTAAACATACTATGAACAACATATGTGTAGACCCACATCCCTACATATACGTAGCAAATAAATATTAAATATTAATACTAACTTAACAACTGTAATGATTCACTTAACAACTGTGGCACACAAGGTTGTAAATGGGGCAAAACTCACTTAACAACCACCTTGCTTAGAAACAGAAATTTTGGTTTCAATTGTGGTCAAAAGTCGAAGACTATCTATATACCAGGATTCCCACTGCCTCCGTACTGAAAAGGAGTCAAGACTTGAAGAATTCAGCCAGGGGAATGTTACGCCTCACATTAACCAATGGAGGGACGCAAGTATTTTTGAATGCCTCTCCATTGCAGATGTTTCTTTCTCTTTCTCCCCCCACACACAGACACATTGCCCGCACACAAGAATGCTCTCTGACTGCACTATGCACCTGTTCTTCTTCATTATGCTTTAGCAGTGGGCCAGCAACAAAATGGAGGCTTAATTGTGAGGCCATGTCCTCAGCAAACTGGAAGTGGGCTGAGCTCAAGCTATGGCAGCTGGGAAATGTAGATGATACAAACTCTGTATACTTGGTTTACATTAGTCTGAGGGAAGGGCTGGTGGCATGCCTGTACAATTTTTTTTCCTCCAGGATATTTCTGTTGTTGAACACACAACATACTTCTGTTTTCTCCAATATTCTTTTTCAACATGTTCTGAAAACATTGGTATTTCCCTGAGGAGAATGAAGTCTCCTCGGTGTTGGCTACATCCTACAGGGGCACACAAGCAGAGCTTGTTACACAGATCATTTTTGAATTGTAATAATTAGTTTGAGTCAAGGGCCAGTTCATATATAATTTCAGCTTTAATAAAACAAAAGTGCAAATAGTGCAAATATCATTGTATTTTTAAGGTCAAGCTACCACACACAATTTTTATATATAGGAGCTTCAGGGAACCGCGTAGGCAATCTTGGCTCTTTTATGACTCATGTACTTCAACTCCCAGAATTCCTGAGCCAGCTATGCTATGCTGGCTCAGGAATTCTGGGAGTTGAAGTCCACGAGTCATAAAAGAGCCAAGGTTGCCTACCCCTGGTTTAGTTAAACATCATGATCATTATGCTATAAAATAAAAAGTTTAAAATGCCTTTGCAGGGCTGCCTATCCTCTTTGTTCTCCTTGATTCCATATCATAGTCTATATCAACCTATATAAAGCATTTATAGTTGTGCAAAAATTAAATAATTGAAATATCTTGCCCAATGTGGATAGCAGATATTTTGCACAATTACATTTCAGGGTTTAGGTGTTCACAGGAGGGAAGTAGTGTTTTTCTTTTTTTTTTTCATATGGCCATCAGATAAACAAACATTCTCTATAGTACTTAGAGCAGAAAATTGCAAGTATTTTGACATTTTTTTAAATTGATCGCACATGCCTATTGCTATGCTTCAAAGAGCAAAGGGCATCTTGAAGTATCCATGAAGCTTTTCCATTTTATCCTCAGCTCATCCATAGAAGATGAATTAAACTGGGAATTTATTATCTGGATAAGGTCCCCACCAATCTTCAGGTCTGAGTATCAATTTGAATCCAGATTCCTGAATTTGGTGTTGTGCCTAGTATATTCTTCTAAGTTATTTAAGATGCATTCACATGTTAATTATTAAACCACTTCTATGACTACTAGGCATACAAATGTACTCAATCCAATATTCTAAGTCCCTTCAGAATTCAAATGTTATTATCTAGAAATAGTTTTTAGTATCAGGAAAGTCTGTGAACTTGTAATGGGCATTCCATGATCTTCCCCTCAACTAGCAGTAATAAATTTACTTAATTTTGTCTATTTTCAGAACACACACTTGGAATTTTGAAATGTTATTCCTACAAACTGGTACATTATTCGCCCCCCAAAAATTGATCATTATTTTGTATCCCTGGTTACTGCCAGCTTGTTGTTAATCTGGTCTTAATCAAAACAGGTGACACTGTTTGCCAAATTATTTAATCACATGCAACAATATTAAATAAAATTGAAGAGTTTATGATAACTACGGTCACCCTTTTCATTGCACGATTCAAAACTGATAGTGATACAGAATAATGATACATAGAACACACTATTTATCTGTGCATAATACTAAGTACGGAGTATTTCTGCTGTATTAGTCAGAGCTTTTTGATGGAGTCATGGTAGGACTTAAAGCCAAAGTTGAGGATTGTAGTAAAAGGCACCTGCCAAGGTCTCTGCTTTAGCAGGAAGTACCTCTGTCAACTTTGAGAATTTTCAACTCAGAGCTTCTTCTTCATTTATACTCCTGAGTCTTTGTTCTAGCAAGCAAATACTGATAAAACAAGGAGAAAGATAAACTTCTTTGGGCCTCGGTTCTATGTGATGGCATGGACTGAACCCTGAAGAAGGAAAAAGAATGGTTAAAAGTAGAAGTTGACCTGTGAATCCTTACTGGGGTATTTCCAATATGCCATTCAAGAACTTAGAATTAACCCTGGCTTGTTGCATTTCTTGGAATATTAAATTCTAACCGAAAGTAACCCATTCAGTTATACTCCAATACTAGATAACCTTTAGGTGTACAGTATCTTTCTAAAGTATGCATTGTTTTCTGATTGATATGTAATTCTTTTCCTTATCCCATGTAGGTTGTTTATAAAAATAATGATATTCGTCTGGAGTTATCTCGTTTGGCAAGGATTGGTGACACAAAAATGAAAATCTACGGGGAGGTGAAATTTACATGTGAAAATGTGGCCACGTTGGATCCAATCAATTTTGAAAATCCCGAGGCCTACATTAGTCTGCCTAAGTGGAACACCAAACGAATGGGGTCCATCTCTTTTGACTTCCGCACTACAGAGCCCAATGGCCTTATTCTTTTCACTCATGGTAAACCCCAGGAAAGGAAGGATTCCAGAAGCCAGAAGAACACCAAAGTGGATTTCTTTGCAGTAGAACTCCTGGATGGAAATCTTTACCTTCTTCTTGATATGGGCTCTGGAACTGTCAAAGTAAAGGCAACTCAGAGGAAAGCTAATGATGGAGAATGGTATCATGTTGATATACAGAGAGATGGTAGATCAGGTATGCACCAAATCCTTGAAAAGTGACTGAATATGATCTTACTTCAGCTTTCCTTTGCTTTACAGACATGCCAAGTCAAAAGTGTGAGAACTGATCAAAAAGTTACTTTTTTTATCACCAGTGTCCTTGTGAATAATTGCTAAATGAGGCAGTTGCTAAATGAGGACTACGTGTAATAGCTTTCAAAACCATGTATAAAAATAGCCTTTGGAACTACTGACATCATCATAGAGCAATAGATTTGTTATACTTCATAGATTTTCTAGTTTATCAAGATAGTTACTATACAGTCTGACAGTTCTGCTAGGAGACAGTAACATGTTTCAGGACAAATGTTCTCTGTCCTCTGTTTAAAGAGAAGTCCTTGATCTTCTATACTAAATTTTTCGCCCTTCATCAGAATTCAAACTACACAGGAAAGTGATTTGCTTTATCTCTTGGACTCTTGTTTGACCTTCCTTTCTTCTTTTTTTTCCTTCCAGGTACCATTTCAGTTAACAGCAGACGGACACCTTTCACTGCAAGTGGAGAGAGTGAGATCTTGGATCTAGAAGGAGACATGTACCTGGGAGGACTGCCTGAAAATCGGGCTGGCCTTGTCCTTCCTACTGAGCTATGGACAGCTATGTTGAACTATGGTTATGTGGGCTGTATCCGAGACCTCTTCATTGATGGGCGGAGCAAGAACATCCGGCAGCTGGCAGAGCAGCAGAATGCAGCTGGTGTCAAATCTTCCTGCATTAGGGTCAACACCAAACAGTGTGATAGTTATCCCTGTAAAAACAATGCTGTCTGCAAGGATGGCTGGAACCGCTTCATCTGTGACTGCACAGGCACTGGCTACTGGGGAAGAACATGTGAACGGGGTAAGTTCAGAATTCAGAAAGAGATTTTATCCAGAGTTGAATGTTGTTTGTATGGTATTTTAATTTCTTGATATTTTATGTTATACCTGGGCATTTTACAGTCCCTGGGCCACATCTGGCCCTTGACTGTCCCTATCATTACTCTACGATCACTAGGTCATCAGGGAAAGAGTTTTTAATCAAAACGCTTCTTCTCTGAATCTGGGCATTTTTGGCATTCAGTATCCTGAGGAATTCAGCCTTGTTTGCTTCCAGTGAATTGACCTAAGCAGCAACTTGTGAATTAAAGGGCAGATTGAAATGTCATTATGCTCCAACTTTTGTTTCAGCACAATTCTTACATTAAAGTAAAAACAATAAAATAGAAACAAATGCACAAATATATTTTGAGATCTAAACCTAAATTCTGAACAGTAAAGATTCCATTCACTGTTTCATCAAAATATGAAATAATGTCTGTTTTTTATGTCTGTGCAAATCTTTCAAAATGGGAGCTTTGTAATAAATGGGGACACAATTAAGGCATCTCTTTTTGAAACAAGAGAGCAACCATATCTTTTTCCAGGCCTGGGCTGTTGTTTTGTAGTACCTCTCAGTTCCCTCTTTAAGTGTATAATATGCAGAGCCATTTTCTTTGCTGAATGTATGGAATTAGTTGATATACCATCTACATCTGTTTTGTTTGAAATGGTCATGTTAATTCAGGGCCAGCATTATAGGTTATCTGCCAAATATTCAAAATGGCCCATAGCCAATCTTGCTGATCTGGTGAAATTGAACTTACTACAACTAAATCATTTTATTTGTGACACTGTTGCAATTTCTATTGCCACTGCTATTTCAAACCAGCCCAACTAGTTTTCCAGTTAGGTGACAGTGTTTCTAGGTAACAGTCAAGTTAATACTCGGTTCCTTTGTATCATCCACTGTATCATATTTACCGATATGCAATGCCCACCTTGATATTTTGAGTGATTCACAATAATATGGCAACCAACTGGCACAGAGTGAAGTTTATTGTTGAGTTGGCTCAACTTTTGTTCAATTTAGTGCTACATGAAGGATGGGGATATAATTCACTAACAGCTACAGGGCATAATGGCAGTCTAGGAGAGCACTTGTGTCTGAATGTTAAGGGGAAACAAATTCTGATCTAATGTGGGGTCATTAGCAATATCATGCTAAAGGGTTACTAAAGTCTGCCATCAGCCTGTATCCATAGAGAAAAAGCTGAAGGAGGTCTAATGAAAAAGTAAAATGATATTTTAGCATGGAAAATTGTGTCTGGAAGATAAAAAGGATGAAATACAATACAGAACAATGAGTGAATGAAAGTGGTTTGAATAAGGACAGAAGGGATGAAAAAGGCATTAAAACTTGTGCATAGTTTGATGAAGTTATTTGCATATTATAGTTTTTGGGTTCTAGGGTTGGGTTATTAAGATTCTGTTAATGTAGCTTGAATACATTAGAATACAATAGAATTAACTCATCTGGCTGTTTCCTGTCTGGTTTACCTTGCAACACTGACATCAATCTTGCAAGTCTGAAAGTACTTTTCTCCCTCTGTCCTTTTTACAGCACACAAAATTAGGAAGTTGGCTTCTGAGCTGTTTGTCCTGCCCATATTCCTGCTGTGGGCTCAGCTGCTTTTTATCTCTTTGCCCTGTTTTCCAAGGTCATTCCCACATACTACTTTAACACCCATGTCCTGGACTAACCCGAGTTATGAGTGGAGCTGAGAATCAAATTATTTCCAGACTAACAACTCTTCTCAGGCAAAATTTAACTTCAGTCTGTTTCATTACATTCAAGTTTGTGAGAGGAACATTGAATGACAAAGAAAATGATAGTTCTCTCTCCTCAGAGGAGGGAAATGTAAAGGTATAGGCAGGTATATACAGAACCACAATAAATGACTAAATTGTAGACCTGTAAATAAAGTTGAACTAGTGGGTGGCACAGAGCAATCTAAAATTAGTAAGTAGAAAGTAAGAATAAACCCTAGGAACAAGAAAAACAAACTAAAACTTTGGAATTATAAATAAATATTTATTTTGAAGCCAATTTCATAATAAAATAATTTTGAAGGGCATTGTTCAATCTCTTGTTTAATTCTAACTCCCACTCCCCCCAAAAAAACTCCCCCCAACAATATGCCTACATCCAGGCCCCTAAAGATTTGGCCCCTTGTATCTCAGTTTACCTCATCTTGATCAAGGTTTTCCACAGCAACTCTTGCCCGGCCTGGCCTAACCAAAGGATCACCACTTATAGCAATTTCAGGTAACTCTTAAAAAGCAGGAATAAGCGGACACAATCCTATGGCATCCCATGTCTAGCAGACTGATTTCTCTCCTTCTGGTGCTGGTGCTGTCCAGTTAAGAGCAGAACAGAGCCCTCTTCTCCTTGCCTGTCATCCAAATGATACTGCCAAAGAATAGGCTCAAAGGTGAGTTCATACCCTTGCTTGGTCAAATTCACTTTTGATCTTCCTCCAACAGACATCAAAACATCTTTTCTGATCATTTATCTTCCAGAGGTCTTCTGGATTGGCTGACCAAAACTGATCAAGGACAGTCACATCCTGATCTCTGGTCATCTTCCAACTCTATCTCTCAAAAATGGAATTAGGTAGAACTGCCAGTGAGGTTAGTGGGAAGATTCCCAAATGTCCTTTAGAATTCATCACAGTTTCACTTTTGAACATATTTTGTGTTCAAATAATTCCAAACCCACTGACACCACTGTGATGCTTTTTTTTCCTTTCTGAGGAGGAAATTGAACCGTGCAGATGGGCCCAGCAGGCAAACAAGTAGGAGAGCACTTTCAGCCAAAATAGCATGTAAAAATAATTTATTTTAAAGCCTCTAGTTATGGCATGACCTAAATGTTTCCATTTGTTGTCTCTCTAGGTCATCCTATAACATAGCTTTTCTAGATCAGTTGTCCATCTGTTGAGTCATCTGATATGCATTTAGTTAAATAAGCACATGGCAGTATTACAATAATATCAATGTAGTCATTAGTTGACCAATAGATAAATCTGATTTTATTTTGAAGACTACCCACATTACAGGGGCAGAAATTTCTATTCAGGTACTATTTTTCTGCCATAGATTAAACATGGATCTCCACACTTATAGTTTGCCAGCTAATTCTTTAGTTTATTTGGTGCAGAGGATTTGTACAACAAATTTTAAATTAATAGTAACATTTCCAGTTTTTTACATTCTGTTGTGGGATTGGGGATCTGTCTCTCTCCAGCTATACCTAGATTACATTTCCTGCCTAATGCCTAATGAAACAGGGAATTGTAGTTTAGCAATATCTATGTTCCCATACCTGTTCTAGAAGGGATTCTTACTCTCCCCCTTGCTTAACCTTGGCACCAAGTGTTCTTCATTATCTTCTTTGCTGAGTACAGCTTATAAAGGGCAATGCATCTGTTGTTGGTTATGTGATAGTAAACAAAGGTCTTTAGTTTCCACTTTATTGTCTGCCAAGTACCTTTACTGCAGCATTTCTTAAAAGCTCTTTAATGAGAACACACATCTGCCAATTATGTATCCAATAAACTTAGAAGCTATAAAATTACAGGGCAATAAGATGTGCTACAAAATTATTTACTGCATGGAATGAATTCTACAGCTCATGCTTTGTATCTTATGGCTAACAGAATGAACTCTTTTAATTGCCGACTGTACCAAAAAAATGAATAAAGGTTTCTTTAGAAACAACCAAGTTACACATTTTGAACATGCATCTCCGGACTAGAGATCATCTGGGAATAATCTTGTTAAATGAAAAATCCTTTCATATCTTAAATATGTTTATTATCAATTTATAGGCTAATGGTAATTGCAGAGTTTAGTATATTTTATAGTATATTCTACCTACTCTGATTACCAACCAACTATGTCCTAAGATCAGGAGTAAGGGTTCAAGTGATGGGGACATGAAGTCTATTCATAGGAAACACAAAGTTTCTTTTTCTTTTGGTTAATTCTTCTTTACTGGCCCCTCTGGCTTCCTGGCTTCTGCCAGAAGGTTAAAAGATCATTTTATTTATTTATTTTTAAAAAATATAGTCTGGTATCTTCTCTTGATTGTTTGTATTTGATCATAGTTTTATGAAGTTAAGCAGAGTGCAGCAGATCTAGAGAGCACAGGGTCATAGGGGCAATCATGGCATTCTGCAAGGCTTGTGTACCTTGGGGAATGGCGTGAGGCAACCTTTTTGAGAGGCAGTGGCAGGGCTAAAGCTGAGGCCCAGACCTCTAGTTGAAATTCAGCCTCAGGCTTGTCACCAAGTGCTGCTATTTCAGTGTGGCCTAAAAATGGGGGGGAGGGGGGAGGAAATAGAGAATTGCAAAATCCAATCTGTGTCAGTCACTGGGACCAGAGGTTTAGTCTTCTGAGCTTTTGGACTTTTGGAATTCCCTGAGGATGGGCTCCAGCACAAGTCCGAAAGCTTGGAAGACTAAACCTCTTGTCCCAGTGACCTACACAGTTTGGATCTTGCAACATTATCCTGGGACACCTATATTTACCTTCATTTGTGAAATAGAGAATTGTTTCTTTTTTGTTGGCGGGGGAAGATGACACGTCAGTAGAGTCACATTAGGCATTTTCTGAATTTTTGACCCCTTCATCCCAAAAGGTTCTCCATTACTGCAATATAACAAGTGGGGTTTATAAGAGAGACAACTAAATATGAGATATTAGTTTTCATATGATGACCTGGTTGACCTATGGATTCTTGAAGACTTCTAAGCTGTAGAAAGTCCTTGATGCGCTGTATTCACTGCCATGTTTTAAGGATATACAAACAATTACTTTTGACAGTCTGCTGCATGGATATCATATTAAATTCCTAGTTACATCTCTTTGAAATATGTTTTCTGAGCCTGAGCTGTTGATACAGAATTGAAGAGAATCAAGCAAACAGACTTTTCAACTGTTGATGAATGTAGTTCTGGGCAGTTTCCACAGAAAAG